GCTGTTTGTTCCTTTTTATTTTATCATGTTAGTTATCGTTACTTTTCTCATCTCTTTTCGTCATATCATATATTCGTTTCTCAGTGTTCATTTTTATTTTAATGATTGTTATTGTTTTAATTTTTGGACGTTTTTGTAGAGGTGAACGAAAGAAGAAAGGATCGATCATAATTATTAATTGTCTGCCTTTTTCTTGTTCAATAGGTTTGTTCATTAGTAATTAGAATATGGTAAGAGGTTTACGGACAAATAATATAAAATGGACGTCTGTATAGGTTGAACTATGCATATAGTGTTATTGAGTGTGTTTATTTACACAAATCAATATAAATTCGACAATGTTTCTTGTTATGGATTAACATTAGTTGAGGACTTGAAGTTCCTGAGTTAAATGCTTGCTCACAAGGGTTGTGGATGAATATGAGTTCCGAATGAAGAGGACGAAATAGTTATCTAGTGCTGTCTTTTTTCAACGGTATCTTCTGTTGATGTCAACCAGTGATCTCGACCATGTTCACACTGAAATAAATTCCACATAATCTATTAGGAAATCATTGAGTAATTCTTATTTATTCAAAATAGAGGGATTAGAGGCGATATATCGATTGTATATATATATATATATATATATATATATATTACTAAGGCTTTTATAGTTAATTCAGCTATGAATGTTTATTGGATCGAAAACCCCTTAGATCCTATCTCTGAAATTTTCACTGAGACTCCTAAAACATTTTTGGACATTAAGTACTTTCGGTAGTGAGCTTTAAAAATCAAAGTATTCATATACTTTCGTATTTTGATGTATTAATTATAACTCAGCATTATTTAGTGACATCTATATCTGAGTAAAATAATCAGAGAGGTACAACCACTCAATACTCAGTTCAAGGAAATGACAATCTCTAACACTAACCTCGTGGTAATTTTCTTTTCAATCCAGTATTGATTGAAAGATCTATTTGATTTTTTTAGGTACAGTATTAGTTTTACAAAGATTCCAGACACTATAACTTAGTGATTTGAGCTCGATTGATATAGCTTTCGAAAAAATAATCAAGTGAATTGCCATTTTAAAGTTTATGGTCATATTATCAACTGATTTCATCGAAATTAGGTCTTCTCTTCGATTCACTATTATTATTGGGTCGTGGGAATTTTTAAATTAGGAAACCAGTGCTTCACTGGCTCTCAAATTGACGTTATTTCCTTATTTAATATTACATTCTAAACTATACAAGATCTCCATAAAACTATCTAATACTCATCAAAAACTAACTTCAGCATGAATATTTTCAAAGTTTTAGTGAGAAGAAACGACTCAATGGAGTTCACTCATTTAGAAAGTGAGACACAACCTATTAAAGGTTATCAACCTATGTTAGGTGGTTAGAGGTAATCGAAAGGAAAACTTGAACTTGGGTTTCGTGCTAGTTCATACTTGTTAGTAATCATAATGAGTGTCTTTAATATCTAGAGAAGTTTTTGTTTTTCCTGTTGGATTCGAATCCTCGTCACTCAGCTTCACACTGTTGGATGTTACTGTCTTACCATCTGGATAACAACTAACTTCCCACAGGAAACATCACTTCTTTTTATATACTAGTTATACCTTTCTGACGAATACTAAATAGTACGAAACCCAGGTTGAGTAGAGTTTTCTATCGATTAACTCCAACCTTTTAGCATTTTATCATAGTGCACAAATTATCAGGCCACATTTTGCAACTTGGTCAATAGAATACGATCAGCAGCATCAAACCTCTAGACACACTTGACGTTGATTGTTCCTCAATCACTTGTGGTATGATACAAGTTGTTCAACAGCTGTTGATTTGGAACGATTCACTAGAACTAACATGTAATTTATCTTTTAACTCACTCAATCTCTCTTTCTCTCTCTCTCTCTCTCTCTCTCTCTCTCTCTATATATATATATATATATATATATATATATATATATATATATATATATGTTTTTCACATATTCTACCTTCCTTTCTTACTGTTTAGTTTACAATTGATCCCATACTTATATTATCTGCTGTCAGTATTTCCTCCTTACCCCCTTTCTCAGTCAACCTCATTTTTAGACGAATTATGGACGAATGACAATTGGGTTCAATATTACTATTTATTGCATGTATGTATTACTAGTTACTACTACACTGCTACTACTGATTAGTAATGTTTAACAGCCTCTGCAAAACTATCGATTAACAAAAATTAAATTTATTTATTTATGTCTTCTTGACCGGTCTGTATAGAGATTGATTTCTTCTGCCGTTGCTACGGTTTTTCTCCCCTCTAATCCATCTCCCCTGATTACCATTACCATCGATTATTTATTTATAATAAACAGGTTTATCTATTTTAATTATGTTTACTCTAGTATTCTTCTAAGGTGATGGCTACGCTTTGGAGATTAGCATAAAATGTAAAACTACCCAATAGGATGATGAATAGGAACCTTATGCCCCTTTCATTTCTTCATCAAAATAACACTTCATAGTTGTAATATTTATGTTTATTGAACAGGGGAAAAGTCAATGAATCACTTTCATCATTCTCATCAATAATCATAATAACGACAATAGACGATTTCATTGTTTTATTTTCTATATAATCTAATTGTAATCTAAAATTCGTGTTAAGTATAATCATTATTACTGGGCAAAAATATTCTTTCCCGTAATGTATTGATTTTTCTTTTATGAAAAAGATGAATAACGCCCTTTTTAATAAAAAGGTTATCGACAGTAATAAATATATGATTGTTTATTTCAGCGATTGACTTTAACTAGTAAATAATCATTAAAAAAATCAGTGAGATTAGTTAATGTCCGAAGTGAGATTAGAGGAAGATAGCAGGATTGTTGACAATGAATGATGATTGCTGTACAATATCGCAAGTTGATTCAAGTGAGATCACTGGATGCTAAGTCAGTAATTGTACTGAAACGTCAAATTCTATGATTCAATCTGTGAAGAAATTGTAGCTTTGTCAGAATGATGATTTTAATATGATTTCGAAACTTTTTTATTGGTCGGAGTAAAAACTGAGTTGAGAAGAGGACTGACACAGCACTTCCATTGTTATTTCGGTTATTTTAACACAAAAGAACTATCGTTTATTAACGAAAAAAACTCGATAAACTGAGGTCCTTTTAGCAGTCAGGTAAACATAAAGTTTGTTGATATATGATTTCCATTTAAACATTAAAAACACGAAGTTCAACATAGGGATCTCTTTCCAAAGAATCACCAAGCTGTACAGCCGTATATATATATAGGAATTTTTATATTCAAGTACTGTTTCCATGAATACATGAACAAGGAATAAACATGATGGTGTAATCGAGAGATTTGTTACTAAACACGGTAATCAATTAGTTGTAAACAGCTCAATCTTAAAACGGATCAGTCGGGAACTGCGTAGCTTAGTATGAATAATAATAATAGCACATATTTCAACTGAACCAGCTCTAAATACAGTGAGAAAAACGATACCCCCCCCCACACACACACACACATTTACATGTACTTCTTACAATTTTTATCTACGTAGTATTTATGACTGGAACTAAGAACAAAGATTACAATCATGATTTTATTTGAAACATTTGCTCGAAGATTTTTAATTCACAATCAATAAATTCTCTTCTTATTCCTTACTCAATACATTTAAATAGGACATACTTGATTGATTTAGCTGGTTATACCAAAGAACTTTATGATGAACACAGATACACACTTAAATTCTTCTGTATAGTTATTTAATAATAGAAACATGTCAATAGTTGGATTTATATTTTTTTTAAAAGGTGCATTCAGTTTGTTATTATTATTGTTGGTATAGTGAACGAGAACACAGTGGGTACAATCAAATGTATTTTAATACATTACAGAATACCTTGGTAAAATCTGAGATCGACACAGTAATACTTCATTTGCGAAATATCCATCAATTGTCTCAGACTTTGTTGTTTCTTCGTTCCCATACCAGTCACTCTGTTTCATCTACTTTGATTTGTGTAGAGCAGATGGTTAGTAAATATCATTATCCATCATATAATGTATGTGGTTCATAGTCCATTACATAGACTTGTGCTTGGTAAATGTGCGAAATTAGTGTAATACATATGAGTCACGAACACATACACACGAATCGATAAGGCAATTTTACTACTTCTAGGTATAAACTAGAATTACATTTGACTAATCACTGATTAATGAGTAATGTTGTGTTTATCTAGACGTTTAGTGCTGCTGATCGAATCCCATCGATCAAGTTGCAGTATAGTCACTAGTCTGAATGACCTGACATTTTATACACTTTGTTGAGATTTTGAATGGTTGAAGATAGTCGGCGGGAAACCCAGTGCACTAATGAGGAAGCTGATGCTCTTTGTGCGATTCAAACATTCATCTCCTAATTCCACAGTCTGTGGCATTACTGCTGACATGTGTTTAGCCTCAAGAGGTCAGGCTATATACATGAGCAAATTTATATCAATAAGTAATCATTTTATGCTCCAGAAAGTCACTCACCAACTTAATGAATCACTCATGTTAGCCAATACTTGTTCAATGGATGCTATATTGGTCATTTATTAAAATAAATTGGTTCGAGTTTCAGTAGTAGTGGGTCGTCAACCAGCACGTCCGCAATTAGAAAGTTCCAACCAAGGAAAAATGTACATTCCGGATTCTGTTGCTAGCTCCTACTCACAAAAAGAGAAATTTTTAGGCTCAGCAAACATCACTGGCATTCATATACGCGACTATAGACAGTTTGGTTAGTTCAGTCTTGTTTCGCTGTCAATAATGTGAAAAAAAGCAAATTTTTACAATTACTAATTGTTTCATTATTGTTGTATGAATTAGGATTTTGTTTTTTCGAAAAACAGATACATTCTAGTGCTTTCTTTGGATACTTGTCATTTGCATTACTTGTTTTGTCATATGTATTTTCCTTACTTTCTTCTTTATTTCAGGAACGTGATCTAAAACAATATTTACACGATTGTCATGGAATTATGCATTCGGATAATGTCCAATTATTTTTATACCAGTTATTACGTGGTTTAGCTTACTGTCATGAACGTCGTATACTACATCGTGATTTAAAGCCACAAAATTTATTGATCAATAGTAGAGGAGATTTGAAACTGGCTGATTTTGGTTTAGCTCGCGCCAAATCAATTCCGATTAAAACTTATTCTAATGAAGTTGTTACATTATGGTAAGCTAATTGTATATGCATTTGTGCATACCTGAAGGTGTATATATCACCAATACAATTTAATAACTATATATTTTTGTATATGCAAGGGTGATATTGTAGACAATGTTATTCTTAAAGACCATTTAACTAGAAACCATCACTTTGGGAAGCATTTCATACGGACGTTTATTGTGAGTATTCTCTAATAACCGCTGATGTGAAGATTTCTGGGCTAGTGGTGTTGGGGAGATCCAAATATTCCTCGAGAAAGTTCAGAGGGGCCCTAAAAACACTGGGAAACATTTTATCCAATTAGAGTTGAATAGAAGTTTCTCAGAAACATCTAGAAAGGGAAAACTCACAAATCACATTCCTGATTAAGTAATTACCTATCCTGCTATCATGTTTAGTACGATTCCAGAACCTTCCAGAAGTCCAAGGCCATTTGGAATATTATAAATATCTTCGATTTTCTGTACAAACCAACCTTGGAGTAAAGCGTTCTTTTCGCAGCTCGAGTTGTCGTGCAGATTTAGTTTAGGGTTATTAAAAAAGATTAGGAAACCGATTTAGGCGTTCACTTAGAAGATTTATCAAGTTGTTATCCTGGTCTTCTAAGAGCTAGGTGGGTATATCATTCATAGTGGGACATTTGTCTTATATGTTAGGAAACGTCTAGTTTATATCTTAGTAAAGGACTCAAAAAAAAGAGAAAAAAAACTGAGGCATAATCTGTTCGGCAACGTTATAATAGTTGACACTAATCACTTTGTGGATCAAACGACTTATCTGATATTTGCTTGATAAAGATCACAACCAATCTATCGAAGTATACACTCTTAAATGTCGTTTTCATTATGTATTAACATTAGCTGTTGGATCGGTCACCACGTATGATTCTCAACATCATAGTTTACAGAAATAGTTTTACACTATAGGTTCATGTTACTCTATTCTTAGTTTACTTCAACTCCCTCCCCCATAAAATAGCAATGTTTATATGGATTTTTTTAAGGAGCCTAAAATAATGACAGAATAGACTGACTAATATGTGATTATTTTCCATTCTGTAGCAACATGAATTCAAATCTGGAGTAGAGGGAGATAACTTCTAACTGACTCAATTATTTGAAATGTTCATTTTTTTACATTAGTAAAAAGAACAAATTGAGTGAAGAGATTTCTTTTCAATTAGTTTTTTCATCATGGCTCTATACTGATACATAGATATACTTGATTTACAACAATGAACTGACACTCATCGAGTAGAGTTGCGTTACGTAATAACTATGTAATGTCACATCGATTATAAAATAGTATTGAGTAATTGAACGGAAGATGGTTATAATATTCAAAGTAATTATTCAGAAAATCAAACACTTGCTACATCGCATAATATACGAAAAGAACTAACAAAATATTTTGGTGAATGGTCAGTAATATAGTAGTTATATAAGAATCAAGAGACGAATATTGAAAATATATACAAGACAAAAGTGGAAGAAATAGGAAAATTGTTTAAACTTTTTTGAAAGAATGGGTTTAATCAAAATTCAGCTAAAAGCTCACTCCTATACCGATGGCCAAACTATCGTGAGTGGTTATACAAATGTCTTTTGAATTCATAGGTTAGGTTTGTGAACATGGATTACGATAGCTTCAGTAATATGCAACAGACAAACTCGTAAACCATATGATAAATTTGATGGAATATGGTCGATAACTTTAAAAGCTTTATTCAAGTCGACCTGATGTCTTATGTCCATCAAGTGAGCGAGAATAGATGGAACTCTTGATGACTGTTACCTGTCCTTTACTCAACCAAGACGGATGGTGTTCCGGTATGCGATGATAGACTTGACGAGTTGTACGCCCTATATAACTAGCTCCACAGGAACAGTTGAGTTGGTAAATACACATGGATGTGACGAATTCAGACAGTCTGTCTTTATTGACGGTATTTATTATGGGACGATTGTAGAAAACCCCATTCTGTTTGGTTGCAGTAAATATTTTCTGCACCACCTTTCTTAACCTTTGAGTCACAATTACTTCAGTAGCATCATCGTTTTCTGTCATGTATGATCCGATTAAAAAAATTGTTTTTTTATCTTCTAATCTTAGAATACATTACAACTAATTAATGTCATGTATGTTTATCATGCTTACTGATTTATTATTATTTCAATCGTTGCATAACTAATTCATATCAATATATTTGATTGATATATGTTGTGCACTATTGTTAGTTATCATTTCTGATAACTGACCTTCATAATCAAATTTTAATTTGTTCAAATAAGATATTTTATATTAGTTTTATTATTATTGAAAAATACCGAGAAATATCGAATGATCATTGTGTGTGTTTATGTATCTTTAAAAGTTACCTACGAATCAGATTTATTAATTATTATTATTATCATCATGTTTATGTACTATTATTCATATAATCATACATTACTATGGGTATGATATATATACATTCATCATGAATTCCACTGTATGTTATATAAAACAATCCTTACTTGAGATATCTGTTACTCATGGTAAACTAACATCTACCTCGAAATACAATCCTTATTGGTGTAGAAGAGTAAATTGTACGAAAATTAAGGGTGGTCATACCAAAACTGTGACATTAGTCTGTGAAGTTATTGACTGTTGATTTGAGCTATGTGGCTGCAGTCTGTATGACTATTGTAACTAATAGTTGGAGATGTTAAGTGACATAGTTCAGAATCAATTCTACTGAATCTGATGCATCCACCTCTAAATCTTGAATTCTAGTATTCCTTCCTACATTCTGTTTCCTATAATTATGTTCTCAATATTTATTTGTTCTTGCTATCATTGACGCTATAATAGTTTCAACTCTTTCGTAGTACATCTTGTTAATTGTAACTTTTCTTGTTAATGTGGTTTGACAATTTTGGCTAATGTACATTTGTACCACACTCTATGTTTATTATGACTGACTAAATCCTTACTTGTTTGTCTCCTCCTATTTTTTGTGTAACTTTATAGTTAACTTTTATGTTTAACTAACATTCCAGGAAATAGACCTTTTCTAATTTTTCTTATAGATTAATTTGAATAACCAAAAGAAAAATTAACTCGTTTATTGAGATATATTTTCACGGTTGAATTCACGAGTCAATCTGAGCTAGATCATCATTGAAAACTTGGAAGCACTGTGCGACTGTTTCGTCCTAGTATGGGACTCATCAACAGTGCAAATCCACTATCGACTCATGAATTCAACTGTGAAAATACTAAAATCTCCACAAATTCCCATACTGAAATATCTTTGTTTATACTTAGAAATTGAAAATTACTGATGGCAACATCCGTTTGAATAATCCGTTATGTAGATCAATTTCCATTTTTCATATCAAACTAGAAAAAAAATTGACATGACAGTTAAAGTACACTTGAATTTCAATATGAATCTATTGTAACTTTCGAATTCCAGTCTATGTATTTCAATTTGATCAACTAGTTAGTGTCATTAGCCATCATGCATGAATAATATATCTAAGAACTATGTAGTACTTAGACTTCTAATGGATGGTGATAAAGATGAGTTACAATCAACAGTTGTCTTAACGTGTACATGTACATGTACACGCACACAAACGCTTGTATATTTACATGAATCTTTAATGAGAGTTTCACTAATTATATATACTCAGCACCTCTATACATTAAATGAATATTGAGGAGGCCCACAATAGGACGAAAAGGTCGTTCAGTGTTTCCAGGTTTTCCATGATGGTCTAGCTTCAATCGACTCATGATCTCAACTATTGAAACCGCAAAAATAATCATTGAAAATATTGGATACGATACACTTAGTAAATATTGAAAATATAAAACCTCATCTTAATGAATTTGAATAAATAATTAGTCTTCTGAGTGATTGAGTGATTTTATTGTACGATTTTCGTGTTTTCCATAATTTTGGTAAATTATTTTTTTTACTGTTTTTGTGGTTTGTTGGATACAGTGTCACAGACACAGGAAGACACGAAGACGAAGTAAGAGGTAATAAGCTTTTTTATAATCCTTTTTTCATATAGAAAGATTCGATATATAACACCGTGCGTGTGTCATGTGCTCTGAAACCCCTTCAAAATGTTTGTTTATTGTTACCACTAGAAAATTCTTTGAATCAATAAATAAGGATTGCAAAGATTTTTCTTCACGAAAAATGAAATGATTTTTTGAGAGGCTAAAAATATTATTGATGTTAAGTTTCTTCATAAATATGAAAAAATCTTACCAATGTATCGTAATAAATTTAAATCTGTGTAAAATTTATCTTCTTAGTGACATACACATGTTTTAAGCTGTGAATAGTCTCCTGTCACGTAAAAAGGAACTCACTGAACAACATCACTGATGAATGACAAAAGTTGTTCATCGTGTTTTGTATCAGAGAAATGATCAAGTTTAAAGATGACCTTAATTTTTAGATCAAGCGGAGACGTACATATTGGTTCCTCAAATTAGATATCTAGTACTATTGATCATAAATTCAGTGTGCTTTGAAAACGTTTCCAAGAGTTTATTGACTTGGAATGGCTACTTAACGGCTATATCAGTTGACTTTGAGCGAATAAACCGCAGGTTCAAACCCTACTCCACCTTATTCTACTTTGGGCAACTGAACAGTTTCACTAACTCATAAATATAAATAATATAGTTTAAAGCCACACTAGATCATCAGTCTTGTTTATTAGCTGTAGTTTCTTGCTATTTCCTTTCACCCTTAAAACTCTAAAAGTGGTCATTTTTAGAGAGAGGGAGCAGCATTGAGACGATGCGAAACGTAAAACTGTAAGGCATCTGAAAATTCTGACTTCTGAGGGCTTCCAGGAATGGCTGCAAATTTATTTCTGTAAAAGAAAAATATTCTAAAGACAATAGAAGTGCTATTACTTACTTACTCGTGGAGCATATTTCGCCGACCAGGATTCTCCAATCTACTCTGTCCTGGGCTCTCCTTTCCGGTTTTTGTCTATTACTATTCATTATTTTTATGTCTTTCTCCTATTCGCGACGTAATGTGTTCTTTGGTCTCCCTCTTTTCCTCTTTCTTTGATTATTCCAAGTTAGAGCTTACTTCGCGATACAGTTTAATGACTTCCATCATGTTGTGTCCTATCCACTGCCAAAGTCTTTTCCTAATTTTCTCTTCAGTTGGAAGCTGATTTGTTCTCTACCATATTAGCTTGTTGCTAATATTGTCTTTTCCGAACAAGAAATATTTCGACTTCTTTCACAGATTATTCGTCAAGTGTGATTATAATTGATATATTAGATTTAAATCTTGTAAGATAAAATGTTTTTGATTAATATCAGATGGGTTTTTGTGGAGATTGTAGTAATTTCAATGGTTAAGACGGCCGTCCAGTGCTTCCAGGTTTTCCATGGTGGTCTAGCTTCAACTGACTCATGATCTTAACCATTAAAATGTTTTTATAATTTAGTTCACATATTTAATAGACAAACAATAATATGCAAGTCCATTAGCATTTTTGTTTTACTACTTATTAGACAATAACATCACATATCAACTATATAATATATAGATTCATAATTATAAGTATTATTTTAATTAAATAAATTCTTATTTTGAATTACAAAATTGTTAGTATCTCTAAGCTCAGTGTAAAATCTTAGCATCCACTACAAAATACTTTATTTCTTTTAAGAAAAAAGAAAAAAAGAAAGGAAAACATTCTTCATATTTTAATTAATGCTATGGATAACAAATTTATTCTTTTTTTTCTTCTTTTCATTGTTTTATTAATACAATAAATGACCTTTCAAAGAATTTTCTATTTCTGTTTTGCTCAATTTCATGGAATCACATGACCATTAAAAATGGTACAGTGAATATTTTTGACTTATTTATTTGCACTTTAATTGAATGTTCTAAGTTTTCTCATTTTTTTTTATTTACGTGTTTTCCTTTCAAGTTGTTTGTTTTTTCTATGTCTCTTTTAAGGATTACATAGATACAAATATGTTTGTTTTTTCTTAGTAGGTGGATCATATTGTATAATTGGTTGTTATAACTCACAACCATTAGGCTCCGAGTTTCAATCTCTCTCTCTCTCTCTCTATATATATATATATATATATATATATATATATACCCATTCTAATCAATTGGTCAGCCATGGACAACTTACATAAACACATTTAAAAGGAAGTACTAACAAGAATAAATGACAATACGAAATCAAGATTTAGAGGAATATAAGCAACTGATAAACCTGGGCCACTATAACTAATTTTAGACCATAATGTTACTGAACATCAACCGATTAATTAGTTATTGCGTGGGCGTCAAACTGGATAGTTTGTACCTACTTCATTTGATTCAATTCACCTGTCATTGACTTTATGAACTGATGTAACGGTATCTTGGTTTGACCGCTTCTAGATTTTTCTTCTAACATGCTTCGCTACTTTTCATGTATTTTATTCATTTGTATCAATGCTTTTTTCTCCTGTCCAGGTACAGACCACCAGATATTTTGTTAGGTTCAACGGAATATTCTACTCATATTGATATGTGGGGCGTCGGTTGCATATTCTATGAAATGGCTACTGGTTGGCCACTTTTTCCTGGCTCTACTGTAGAAGAACAATTGACACTGATTTTTAAACGATTAGGTAACCACTGGATTGTACTTGTTATTACTATTATTGTTATTTAGTATTAATTAATATATATCATATGTACGCTATTAAATAGTATGTATGTGGGGTATTTCTTTCAAGCACATTTTTTGCATCTAGCCGTGTGGAATATAGGATGTGTGTTTCATCGTATTTGGAACTCATCACTTGGATATATCTGCATATCAGTGTTCATGTTCACATTAAAACCCAAACTCACTACCTTTCACTCCAAACACTAACACGTTATCCACCACCACTCGTTGAACAATTGTTCAACGAGTATAAATGAAGAGGTATCAACAAGACATTACACTTTCGTTTTGCTGATATTCGAGACTCTAAACGATAAGTTTCCACTGTACTATATTCATCTTAATCGATTACAGTCCTGAATATCAATAACAGGAAACTACAAACCTTTGCTAATGTAATTATTTTTGTTTAAATATTAAGAATTCAATACTGTTGTTTTAATTGTTGTGAAGCACAAATTAATATGCATATAAATTAGTAATATATGACATTATTCTTAGTGTTTGAAGTATTATACTCAGCTTTCAAAAGAGGGATAGGTTAGAAATTTCAATCACTTGTTAAAATTTAATCTATGGGCTAATAATGAATGAGTTATTATATAAGATTGACCACCTAACACGGTAATTTTTTTTATTTAACCACTTAGCATTCAAATATATCTTGGTACAAACCGTAAACTTTCTACAATTGGTAATTATTAGTGTTTATACGCAAAATGTAGCTTGACACTAAATGTAAGAGTTTATACTTGGTTATAAGAAATACATTTATATCATTATTTTGCTGTGAAATACTATACATGATTTGACTAGTAGTTGTCTTATATCAATGACTGAATAATCCAATGATTTGATCCTGTTGATAGGCAGAAGGTTATACATCTACAATAAAGAAGAGTCGTAGATTGAGATGAGACGTCGACCCGATACTGCGATTTTTAAAAAAATCGTCTTTCCAGTTCATATTAGCCAATGGAGTAAAACTTCAGGAATCAGGAAGTGCTTAGTGTAGTGTATATAAGATTGGGAAAATTAACGCTGGATCGAAATTAGATCTGGAGACTACAGGAGAATAAACATATAAAATTCTTTACTGGTTCATTCACTTAATATTTTGATGGTTACGTTCCATTTGTGTAGAAACTACATAGAAAACCACACTAAAGAATACACAAAAACTGCAAAATGTACCTTAGTTGTAAATCAGTTAAAACAAATTCAAGTGAATCTCAATAAACTTTTATATTATCAAACTCTTTTCCTCAAAACAAAAGTGTTAAGAACTATATCTGAATTCTCCTAAAAAAATAATAATCAGGAAACCGAAAAATGCTCACAGACAATTTTTTAGCATAACAATGATATGAGGAAATCTCAGATAATATATACTTCGATAATGCAATGAGAAGACGAAATTTATCAGAATTATGTGATATGTTTACGCAATACATTTCGAACAATATGATCACAGACATTATCCTCCATTGCGAAACATTTGATTGAGACTGGTCATAAGGTTAACATCAAGTCAGCATTTGTAGTGTTATGTAAAAGCCTTCAAGGACTTATACTATGATTTGCTGAAGCCTTGGCTACACGAAAATTGAATCCCCCTTTATGTGTTCAAAAACTATTAGTCCTTACACTTAACCTACCCTGGTAATACTGATTTATTATTCAGAGTGGTAATCACATTTGTTTTTGTGTACTTTAATATTTTTCCTTTGTTATGACTTACCCTTAACCTGTCTAGTTGACCTTTAAATTTTCATATATAAATGTTCTTAACAAGTATATGTGTGATCAGATTGTTCGAAATGTATTGTGCAAATATATCACATAATTCTGATAAAATTCGTCTTCTCATTGCATTATTGAAATTTATCAAAGAAACTAATTGTTTTAGATATACATATATTATTCTACTAGTGTGATCGATTCAGAATCTAAGGTATCACTACATTTAGTACCATTTCTTTATAAATGTCTAGAATTCTCACGTCATTAATAATCAAATAAATCACCCTTTAACTGATGAAATAATATGTTTTCCCTAATAAACCGTTATGGTTACCTATTTTCCTAAAGACTGATTTCAGAGTAGTTAGTTTACTGTTTAGGTAGTCTAGTGAACAAATTTCACATTACCATGAGTGTAGGTAGTCAATAATAAGGTTTTGTTTATTGGTCGTCACAATTCAATATTGAGAATTTCTCATTTGTACATTGTATCTGGGTTTTCTATAAATAAAGTTCTTCGAGTTTTCCGTGAGAAATTATCTGAGGTGGACGACGGTTTAATTGTGAAGATTTTCTCTGCCGTGCTAGCTAAAATCATCAGTGTCTACATCTCAAGTAGAAGTGAACTCCAAGTATGTGCTAATAATTTTGTCCAGAACGACAATGAAAACTTCGTAATTAAACCATTCAGCTCAGTGAACATAATATCGTTGACATCACTTCTTTTGTTATTTAGCTCTGAGAATCGATTACTTGGTAGGAAAACCTGTATACCACGGAAATTTCATTTATTTTCTACTTTTTTATTCTCCTGCTGCGTTCTTCAAGTTGTTCTCATCTAGTTGTAAGAAAAAAGAATGTATCAGGTTCAAGTAGAGTTTCTTAACACCCTATAAATCATTATCAAGTTATCTCTTAGTCCATCGAGAGATAGTATAAAAAGATCTGACTTCTTAAAGCTGCCGCCGGAAGCTTACAGAATTTCTGGGAGCAATCTGATGCACCTTTTAAAATAGAGGCTTGTTATGAACTATAGGAAATTTCCTTTATCTAGATCTTTTTTAATTATAAAGTTTTTAATGATAAGTGACAATCTCACAAACATGTTGAGGTTTCTTCACCGGGATATAGAAATCGGCTAACATGTAGTAGTAGTAGTAGTGGTAGCGGTAGACTTTTCTGTTATCCAACATATCTATCGATACATCACTTATATGATTTTTTTGTAGACATTATTCCCAGTTAATATTTACTACTACTATAAAAGTACTTGAACAAATCATATTAGTCATGCGAGTGATAACGTCGATATAAATGTATGTAACCAATCATCTCTTGGGTCAACATTAATCTCGATAATAAAATACACATAAGGTCAAATAAATGTTTATTTCCTATGAACATTTCAATTTCTTTTCTATACAGTTTTGTTTATGCACACTTATGCACTTTTCAGGATAGTTTGCTGTTATGACCTCGATGTCTGGCTTTCTATCATGCGACTTATAGACCAGTCAGAATACGACTTATACAATTTCGCACTATGTCAAACCAATGACGTTCAACCGGTATGAGCAGTTTAGCGTCCTGATTGGTCCTATGTCCTCCTAACCCTTCCACTTGAGTCCAGAACACAATACCAGCTTCTGTAATATGAATCGAATCGTTTATTTCAGACATACTCGGTTTATATATCAATCAGACAGACCACAACGTACCATAAAATAGAAAATAACATGTGTACACAAATTAGCCAAAAAGTGGCTGTGAACGAGGGGGACAGTAATTAATAGACTGAGCACAGCTTAAGAACCATAAATCGTACAATAATAAAATATAGGTCAAAATAAAGCTTATAATAAAAGGAATATAAATATACATAATGTAATTGTTGAATAGTTATACAATAAGAATATTTATAGGATATTAGCCCATTAATAGTCCTTGGAAGTTACCTGTAATTTAATCTTCACCGAGATATAACATTTTCATAAGTCAATATATTAAAAACTAAATCTTAAACATGAACACCAACGGCATTCGATAACTGTTTCATTTCTGATGAAGGACCTTTGTTACGCTTATTTGAATTTGTAGCTGATACTCGTTACGGATGAATCTCAATTGAAAGCATCATTATAAAACTAGGCAACAGCATTAGACAATGTTTTATTACTGGTATTGGACTGCTGAACAGCTTGAGATCGCGACCCCTCTGTGAATCGAGCACAGTGAAGTCTTGTACTAGAACAAAATAACCGTTTTATTAGACTGTCAGAAAAACTTTCAGTTTGTCCAGTCATTTAGTTCTCTTGAGATAAACCTTAACACATAAACGTTTTGAAGTGTGTTGTATATTTAGGACATTGTGAATTAGCTTATGAGGTTTTTTTTATCCTACATGCGTGGAAAAAGTACCCATAAATTTAATCAAAAATAAGTAACATAAAGTGTATGAGAATCAGAATTGTATGTTCATAACTGAAGTGAGAGTGAGATAGAGGTGAACCAAATTTCTTTGTGTCCTTCAACTCTTTCGTTCCGGTGACCTTTAGTTAAATTATTGTCCATTTAAGTCTCAATAATTTTGTTTCATTATGAACCTTTTGAAATGGTTTTTATAATTCATGTTTCGTAGGTCACAATTGACAGAGAAGAGGGATAAAGTGGGCTGATGACTTTGACTTGATTGGTTTAAAGTTATATCTATTCTTTTTATCGATTAGTCACATTCCAAATCTACCTGGTTCTAGGTACATCTGATAAATATAACCATCTGCTAACACTCATACCGTTGAAAAAGTTAGTGACTATCTGAACTCGGTAGATTAGGGGATAATGCGTCAGGATTTGAAGCGATAGACTGTGAGCTCGAGTGTGTGAACGTCAACGATAGGATGCAGATATATCCAATTAAAGAGCTTCAGATAGGACGAAATTTCCTCCTTTAACTTCCACTTTTAGCTGCAATTCATATCTATTTAGAACTTTGATTAAAAAAAAGAGGTGATATCGAGGCTATTCGCCCAGTTCAAACAGAAATACATCATTCACAGTCCTGAATATCAACAAACACTCACCAATTAATAATATGGATTTAGGTGTTTTTAAACAGTTACTTCTAAATTAGCTTTCAATCATAATCAAGTTTACGAAATATTCGGCAGTTATTTCGTCCTGCTTTCCATCAGGCACACCATATCATTATTTCATTTATTTGGAATCCATTAGACGACATTTTGTAATCCCAGTCAATTCGTAGTAATATCGTAAACCTTATCCAATATCAATTAACTAAAGTCTAAACATATTACACTGACGAGATTTAGGATGACATATGTATGACATTAACTCCTACTGTTTACTTCTGCGGAATTTGTATTGGCTAAGATAAAATTTAGATTGATATCATGAATGGATCAATGTTAGACCATCATTAAAGACCTGGGAGTATCAGACGGCTGTTTCGTTCTAGTATGGGACTCCCCAGCGGTGCGCATCCACGATCCCACGCGCGGGGCTCGATCCAAGGACCTTCGGTCTCGCACGCTCATGCTCAACCTCTAGACTACTGAGCTGACATCCGACAGTCCCATACTAGGACGAAACGGTCGTCTGATACTCTCAGGTTTTTAATGGTGGTCTAACATTGATCCATTCATGATATCAATCTAAACTCAACAATCTCCACAACCCCCTATGCCGATAAGATAAAATTGATAATACTTAAACCAGTCCAGATTTCTTTCATTTTGGACAATCGTGTAGTTATAATAACATTTTAATCGTCACACAACAACGTACTTGTGTGTGTAATCCAACTAAGTAGTATCAACACATGATTGATGAGTGTAACTATTTGAAACAAGATCATCTTATCAAATTTTGTTCACAATATTAAACACTGATATCACACAAGTTATTATTTATTTATTTCAACACATAGATATTGGTACAATGAGGCACCGAATACATATGCGCCACACAAATCCCATTCGATATGTGTGAGGGCTGTGATACTGCACGGGTGCCCGAACCGAAGCAGGTGGTTTTCTTAGGGGGCCACACCCCGAGCCTTCGACCTGAAGGTCTGACCCACAAGGAAGTGGAGCATCGTCAGGAGATGCAGTCCCATGGAAGCCGGTGACCAACAATTGGTTCATACGCCATTTTTCCCTGCAGGATACTGGAACCCATGTGCACCATTGGTTTGGAATCCGGTTAAAGCGTCGGACATTCGCTTTTCGTCCTCTCATTTTCGTAAACAAGACCCCCGCCACGAGAAGGCAGTGAGTAGGACTTCCCTGGCAGAGGCTATATACGCGTGGCCATGTGAGAGCATTTCGAGAGGGAGAGCGAACTCTCCCCACTCTCGACCGTACCAGGGCATTTAGGGGCAAGTTAATAACTAGCAGTCGTGCAGCTTGCAACGCGCGAGGACTTGTTCCACATTGCGTCAAGCGGCTATACTTCCATGGTCTGGCGCGCGACAGCTAAGTTATTATTTGCTTATAAGACACTCACTCATAGTTTCTTAACAAATTGTTCATTAAATAGAATTAGAGATTACTAATAATAATCATTATTTTATTTATGTATTAATCAATGATGTTATTCGCAGTCATGTTAAAGAATGAATTTATGGAAAGCGGAGTGAATACCGCTATTTTCTTGTATGTTTATTTGAAATGCAATTTATTTATTATTTTAGTCATAATTTGCTTATATTTATTGTCATTATAGGTACTCCAAATGAAACGAATTGGCCAGGAGTTACCAGCCATCCAGATTATAGTAAATCGCTTAAATACGGTCCATATCCTGGTGAACCAGGGGGTCTTCCACATTTAACTCCACGTTTATCACGTCGTGCACATCGTTTAATGGCAGAATTATTAGTTTTTCCTGGAATTCAACGAATCTCTGCTATAAAAGCTTTGAAACATGAATATTTTATTGATTCTTCCCGGTTTCCATTTCATACATTTAATAGTTTATCAGCAGATTCAAGTGTATTCGATGTTCCAGGTGTACGATTAGCATGTGATCCTGGACGTAGTGCCAGTCTACCGACAAATCGTATGAGTACCTCAAGCTATTTCTCTTCAAATAATGGATATAATAATAATATTGTAAGATGTACAAATTCACAATTAAAAGTTAATCCTCATCATCGTCATTCACAAATTGAAATGAATAATTTAATGAAACATCGAAATAATCATGATTATTATCGTAATCAAATGTCCGGTTTATCTAATTGCAATAATGTTAAGATGATAGCGTCTCAATTCCAAAGTTATACTAACAATATCAATACTACTACTACTACTACTAATAATAATAATAACAATACCAATAGTAATAATAACAACAGCAATAATAATCATTTCTTTCCTAAATATCATTGTGAAATTAGTAATATGCCTCCCCCGCCTCCTCCTCCTCACCAATCTATCTCATCGAATTCTATGTGTGCTTTACAAGTATATTTTAATAATACCGGCGGAAACACTACTGCTAACAATACTACTACTACTACTAATAGTAATAACAATGCATCTTGTCGACCATATTCAACAGCGTTCGAATCAAATTATCCTCTCCCTTCTATATCGAATTCAAGATCATTTATCAATTCGAATTTCGTGCTTGGCCCAACGAAATTCAATGATCAGTATCAAATCAAACCAGTCATAGGATCAACAATAATAGGGTTAGATGTAACAAATTGCACTACATCAATTAATAATAATAATAATAATAATAATAATAATAATAGTGAAAATAGTAATAATACTACCACTGTTGTTTATAAACCACAAACAGTAAATCGTTCTAATTGGTTAAATATTGGACGACAATCTTCAGGTGAGATATGATGTAATGTTCTTTTCACAGTTAGCCTCTCGCTTTCAGATAAATTCTCATGTGGAAAGCAATTAATAGAATAAAATAGTGATTTCTTTTCGATGAGTTTCATTTCCAAAGCCTTACGGCCGTATATGTATGTTTATTGCAGCTTTGAAATTGCACTCATTGACAAGGATTCCTTCGTTGAAAAATATTCTTTAGAGACTTAGTGTCAGTCACTCATTTGCAACGTATAGTCTGTACGTATATACATCGGTTCAAGTTGCCATACCCCATTACCACAGAAAGATGAAATTATCAGGCCAAATCCCACAGTAGTAGAGATAGTAACAGTATCACTGGTAATAGAAGAGATTAGACATCGAAGAAAAGATTCGAGAAAATACAACTTACATCACTTGTGGAGTAGGTGAGATATCTGTCGTCTAACCTAAGGACGAGTTTGTTGCGCAGTAGTTCTCCCCGTTCTTCTTTATGCGTGTGAAACATGGTCATTACGAATGAAAGACATTTGTTGGTTACTGATATTCGATCATAAGTTTCTTCGGAGTACTACTCGTGTATTTTGGGACCACCCAGTAAGCATTGCCTGGGTTAGGAATCGAGTACTAGATAAAAATGGTAAATCGATTGATGAGGTAGTAAATCATCATCAACTGAGATGGTCAGGATATGTGTTACGTATCCTTAGCCACTCCGTACTTTGACGAGCGGTGTTTTTTCTGGTGCAGAAGTAAGTTGGAAGAAAGCTAGGAGTAGCCAAAACAAAACGTGGCATCAGTCCATATAATCATCGATAATTATATTGGGCCACGTTAATAGGTGGAATCTCATGGACACAGGACCATCAAGGCCTCCTTAAAAAAAAGCAAGAGGGCATTACAATGAACGTCATCCAATGCTATGCGCCTACAAACGATTACAATGAAGAAATTGGAGATCAATTATACGATAAGCTGCAGTCAGTCGTTGAAAAATACCGAACAAAGAACTTGACCATTCTGATAGGAGACGTAAATGCCAAAGTTGGGATGGACAACACCAGATAGGAAGACAACTATCAACCAACACCAAAGTCAGAATTTTCAATACAAATGTCAAAATAGTTCTACTGTATGGGGCGGAGACTTGGAGAAGTGTTTATTAACAGTTGTTTGCGCAAAATACTTCGGATCCGTTTGCCAGATACTATCAGCAACAACTGACTGTGGGAGAGAACAAAGCAGATTCCAATCGGAGGCAGAAATCAGGAAGAATCGCTGTAAGTGGATAGTACACACATTGAGGAAAGCACCGAACTGCGTCACAAGGCAAGCCCTCACTTGGAATCCTCAAGGCCAAAGGAAAAGAGGAAGACCAAAGAACACATTACGCCGAGAAATGGAGACAGACATGAGAAGAATGAACAGCAATTGGATAAAACTAGAAAGGAAAGCTAAGAACAGAGTGGTTTAGAGAATGATAGTCGGCGGCCTATGCTCCATTGGGAGTAACAGGCGTAAGTAATTACGTTAATAGGTATGGACTATCTCGTTGGGGTCAGCATGATCATCGTAACCAACATTCAGAGACCTTAGATGACATTGTTCAAAATCGTTTTAAATAACGGTGCATCCATTATTAGTGTTCTCCCAAATCATGAGATTATGAATTCTCCATAACTTTTCTTATCTCACTAATTTGTATTTTCTTCTTGAATCTTATCTTCGATGCCTAATCTCTTCTATTACCAGTGATGCTGTTACTATCTCTACTACTGTGGGATTTGGCCTGATAATTTCATCTCTCTGTGGTAATAGGGTGCGGCAACCTGAATGGATGCATATACGTACAGGTTTTATGTTGTGACTGACTGACCAAAAACACCTCCACTCTTTAAACCCTATTCTCGTACTGCCGTCATCGACTAAGAATGTACAAATGCCGGACAACATCGCTTGTTTAGAACAAATAGAATGAGATGGTTATATGTCTCCAATCTTTTAGATACTTTTTTTCCGGGCTTGTCGTATATGTATATTGGTACTCATATATACCGCTCTTTAAAATACAGTTTCCTAACAAGATATTACTTGCTACTTTCTTTTTGTGAGAAAGATGCTTTTCTGTGTTTTCCAATGGGTTGGTAGCTAGCTTTAGAGTTATCTCTTTTTGATATCCGATTACACTAATCGATTTAGTATAATAAATTATCTGATCGTCCAAGATGCGTTTGTCACATGGTTGAAATTTATGAAGATATCTTCTAAAATATAAAAAGGGTCCTAAACATATATGTACATGCTTGCAATATAATCTATTTGAGTCAACAACTGCGACAGGCTGCCCAAATGCCTAAACTGAAGTGAATAGCTTCTTTAAGATATAAATGCAGTAAAACATTCAAATATATATTCCCTTGTTAATTAGAGGTAAGGTTAACATTTCACATTCCCAAACTTAACCAATCATCTCTTCAGGGTTAAAAACGACACCGATTATGTATCAATTACAATTAGACGACATTTCTGCTAAGAGAGTAATATAAATATAACAATATCGTATACACTTTGTTGGACGGATATCGAGTTAAAATTCATGTGTATGTAAAAAAATTAGGGAACCAGTCATCAACTCATAAACACTTTTCAATTCATATAGATTCCATAGTTGTATCGATAATAATTGGGATGCACTGTCTTGATTGACTAGTCCGTTTTTAAATAATTCACCGATACGAGACTTCAGTGTTCTACTTTAGCTTGGAATTAAAATCTCTCGCTCGATTTTATACATGGTTCAATCACACTATACTTAATTTTCTCTTCTCAAGGTCGATTTGAAGATCGCCGACGTAGTCTTTTCTCATGAGATCACCATTCTATTACAATGTACACAAATACATAAAGAGAAGGAGAATGAAATGGCCATAAGCGAGGTGTTTTGGAACCGCTTTTTCTTCTCTCACAAACATATACATCAGCTGATCATGACGACGACTACTTTGCAATAACTCTATTTCCTTATCTAACTTTTCCACTGTTTTTTTCCTTCAAACATGTACAGTCTTCCACGATGATTACTGTGTTGTCTACTAGTGATAGGCAACTGATAACTAGTGATTTGTTATTACCTAATTTACTGATATGCATCACATGATTTCTTTTTTTGTCTTACTGTTCTTCCATTATTGTTGATGTTTTTAACGTTTTTTTAAACAAAATTTATTTGTGACTTGCTTTTGACTTTTATTCATGCATTTTATTTTTCACAATGTTTAGTTATTCTGTACCCCCTTGTAGCATATATATATATCCTCATTCCAGTGGTGACTTTTCATCTGCTACTCGACCACTATTAAATGTTGATGCTACACGCGTTCAACTTGTTTATCAGTTCATTTGAATATAATAAATATTCTTTCAATGTTCAAAACAGCATTTCACAAATCCCTTGATTATAGTTTTGTTTTCCTTTTGTTTGTTTGTGGTTGATAATGATGACTGTATCTTTCAAGCTGATCAGTCTCAGTCAAGTCAGTTAATATATTCATATATATATGGTTTCATTTGTTTGTATCTATCCATTTGCATAAGAACAACAATAATCAATAAATATATATATTTGTCAAACAATGTATAACGAATGCCAGAGTCATACAATTTCATTTAAATAAAAAACTAAGAAAATCTCTTCAATTTGTCTGGGTTTTTTTCTGCCGATAGCGTGTGCAGTTTTGCATGTAACCATTACAAGCATTATTAAAGTATAGAGGAAATAGTTGAAGCAACACAATATATATAACTAAAATTGGCTTATTCATATACAGTAGTCAGTCATTAGTCCTCAATATGTATATTCTTTGATCAGCATTTCATGATTATGGCATAAATTATACAGATAGGGAAGTTTTTGTTGGTAAGTGGTCGAGTATTCAGTTATGAGGTACAATTAACAAGCGTTAAGCGATGGATAACTTCACAGATCCGTATTTTTTTATGGATAAGATAGGACAACTGTCGTATTTTTTCATTTGTCTGGAGAAGAATATCATGTTAGCGCTTAACAGATATTATTGTGTCAGGAGTATCGGAAGCATCATAAACACTCATATTTTGATTGGTAATGGGTTTATAGGTATTAACGCCTAGATTGAACGTGATAGTTCTAAATGAATTATGCATCGAGTAGAAAGTTAATAATATTTTTGTTATATCCCAATGAGTAGGAAAATTATATATCTGACGTCTCGTGACTTAATGTAAGCCACTTCTTTAGAGTAGATAAATCACATTTATAGAACGAGCTATCGGCAAGAATACAGAGCTTAGCGATCAAGAAAGCATTCCTTATGGAGCTGTTTACAACGACCTTAGACTTTTATTTTCAGAACATTTGACATTGTAGACAAGAACAGTGTTGAACGCCCTAACAGTGACCCACTGTAAATCAGATGTACACATGACAAATCACGCCTAAGAGATTAAAGGTTTTAAATATACGATAAGAGGATGATAGTAGGTCAGCGTATCCGTCTGCATTGTTGTTTCCCTAACTAAAGTCACGATCGCTTTCTAGATAGATCGCATTAAGTACCAGCCCTTAAATTGAGACCTGCGAATAAGCAGCGTCTTGTGCTTAGTTTACTTTACCAAAAATGGAAGTATCGTTAGTACGCTTTATTGTAACTGAAATCTTTAGCGACTCCATCATCAAATTCCATGCCAGCAACAGAATAACTGACCTTTAAGCCATGGCCATCTACTACTGTTTATTGACAGTACGAAAGAAAAGCTCTTGAAATCTAATTTAATGCGAGTCTCAATTTCTATTGCTATCCCTCGCACTCTCCCATTAACATACTAATCGTGTAGCTTTTCGGAAACTATTTCTTTCAAACTCTAATAACCGGATGGTCGTAGACATTCCTAACAGAACGAAACGCTGAGATTTCAGAAATCGGATGATTTGTAGTTACAGATTGATTGCTGTAAACATCAACACACACCTCTATTTCCTCTAGTGCTTCACACCTTGTCAGTGGAATGACTTCCCTTTAAGCCTCATTAACAATTGGACTTATTCAAACCTAACAAATTATCCCTTTAAAAAAGTAGCACTAAGTATCCTTTATCCCTGTGATAATAAATCACATGATTTACTGCGATACAACACGCAACTGAAATCACAACACTAGGTCACGAATGTCAGAAAACTCGAAGTGTCCCCATGAACTTATTTCCTAACATTTATTTTGTATCAGAAATAAGAACTACGTATGCTCTTATTCGCCAAGCTTGCTCAGGGCTTCAGGAGGACTGTAAGTACATAAATAAGCAAAAACAATACATCATGTCAAGTGAACGTTTATTACAATAATTGGTTTCACAGTGTAAATTCAGCTAATTTTTTGTCAATGCGTTTGACTATATGGAATTCTAATTAATGAAATCAAGGAAATGGAAAACGGAATACACGAACATACGTCCCAAAAAGTGAAAACTAGCGGGACTGAGTGGGCAACTGGTGTTAGAGCTAATGAGTGAATCAGCAACAACTGAAGTCCCACACTATTGTGTTATCTATTCCTTTTGGTTTGTCTTGTGATTACAAACCTATTTTACAGTAACGTGTATCGCTCGTGATTAAGTTGAACGGCGCTCGGTCAGTGTCCAGTTATTTCATTACTTCTGATGTTTGTTGATCTGGACAACTAAATTTAACAACGGATATATAAACCAGTGGTTGAGTATCACTTTAGATGGCAACATCTAATTGAAAAGAAACAACATAAGTAAAAGCTTAAATGAAAATATTTTGAATTTTAAATTATTAACAGCAGCGATTTCAAACTAATGGACTTGAGTTATTCAAAGTCCTAACGTAGCATAGTGAATACTGAATCCAAGAAGGTAGGGATGCAAATCAGGTCATGAATAACATAAAGCTTCACTGTCAGACGTAAATCCCAGCAAAAGGATTGTATTACAACATATGGAATTAACAAGATCTGACTGTTCCAGCTGATAATCATAACAGCGACAACTGCAATAGATTTATAAATAATTTTTAAGTAGCACTTAGATGAAAGTCAATTCAAACGCACAATCCAGAGTTTATGTGGTGAGCATATGACTACATAAATGTACATTTTAGTGGGCATTATTGAGCCGACAATTATCCGGAACGCCTTCACGTTTTGTTATGCAGGGTATTGACTAGCTCGAGTTCATAGATTAGTTTATGTTCCTTGGGTATGACATGCAGTAGACATTTCCCGTTTCACTTAGGATGCAGAGCTTTATTCAAAGGTTGAACACGAAGTTTTTTTCGTAGCTGAGTCGACTTGTTGAAGGGAGACTAGGATTTTCGAACATAGGATAAGTGAATTGTGACACGATAACCTTCACCTCATCTAAATGGTCAAGTTAATCATTAGTTTGGTAAGAACAACTTTATCAGAACTTCGTCGTGGAACAATTCATAACGACCGGAAGACACGAGTAATCATGATATACACACATGGAAACATGAAGGTGTAAACAATTATACCCAGAAAATATTTGTGGGAAAGTTGAAATGCTGCGCATTATTCGGCTAAGTTGTTACTGAGATTTAACAACAATCCTGGCTAAAAAAAATGTACCAGCTTTACCAACAAATACTTCATAGAATGAAAGAGGACTGGATGTAATAATCCTGACCGAAAGAAGCTTTGACAATACCGTCTCGACTCTCAGTTGTTCTGTGTTAAACGAATTGGTTGTACGGTATGATCCCAGCTACGAGACAAGGGTAGCTCAACTTTCTCATAATAGCAAAACAGTATGACTTTGAAGTTGGTAGGTTATCTACTGTCAGTTTACATATCCAAACGCGTATTTAAGACCACAGAATCAAGTTTCCCCTAGCTGGATTACTATGATCAGCAACGTGGTAAACTTTGCAACCAACCTTTCTCCTTTCACTTGCATAACACAACTATTAGGTGTCCAAGTCAAACTACATCGACGGCTGAGGTTCGAGTCTTAAGGCGACTTCGCTTCCTTGATTAATGTGTTAGACCATTCTCCTATTAATACATTGATTATTAAACGGTAAGTGTATCAATCTTAGGCATACTGATCAGTACCTAATTAAAAACAACGACGTACATCCGTCAGGTAACAATATGAACTATGATGAAAAAATCGCTCAATACGTCTCAATAATTGTCATCTCGTAACAGCAAGTTTGAAAAAGCTACTTCTTAAGTCAACAACACGAACAAGGTTCCATGAAAACTGAAACCTCAGGATGATACAGCAGGCATTAATTATACTACGTATACGTCAAAAGAAAACTTTAAGCACTAGAAACGAATTCCACTAATGACTTAGTATGAGTACGGATTTCCGATGACGTATTCCGAAATTCCTCTACTAATACAACATGAACACTCCCGAGAACTACTAGCCGTACCAATTGATTACTAAGCATCCTTTAGTCAGTCGGCAACAATGTAGAACTTCATATATACGCACATCAGTTCGAGTTATCATATCACATAAGAGACGCAATTGCCGACTCAAATCCCATAGTGGTAGATGTTGCAATCGAGAACATTATGGTTTGAGGATGTTATTCAGGGAGTATAAACCGTTGAAACAAACTTGGGAAGGATATGAAGAATACATATTAAGACTTGGGAAAACACAGAGTGCATGCACCTGCACAATGCAAGCGATCTAGACGTGTCGTCCTAGGTCGGTAGTTGGGCATAGGCACCACATGTCCTAGTGATCTCAAATGAACTCCCACTGCCGCATTGATTGAATTGCCAACCCTACCTAACATATGCATTAGTTACTCGGTGGTTCCAGGATATACGAGCAATGCTCCAGTGACATCTATGATCGAATACTAAGAGCCTTCGAATACCCTGTACCCTTACCGACTATGTTTCACAATTATATACATTGGGACGAATCGAACTGCTGCGCAGTAAACCCGTCCTTTGGTTTGTCGACGGATATCTAGCCTACACCATAAATTTTGCAAGTTGGTAGAAGCTAGTCGAGCATCGCGTATCCGCACTAAGATCTCGTCGCACATTAGACCACAAGGGACTCCCAAAATAAGTAAAGTGGTTGACACGCCCAACTACTTCTCTCCCTGTCACTAGTTCAGGTGCCGCTGCAACTCAATCCTAAAGCAACATTTTGCATTTTAACGAGGAGAATAGAATCACGAATATCATCGCAATGTTGCTTAAAGTGGTCAAAAGATTGTGTTTAGCTAGTGTCTCCGCCAAATAAAACCTCATCGGGAATATCGCTCATCTGTAGTCCAACGTAAACTTTGGATAGCTGCACGCGAAAAACTAAATTGGTACACAACGAGATCCGAGCATCATACGGAATTCTGATTACATAAAACTACGTGTAGTAGTAAGCTGCCAATGAAATGAAGGTTTCTGACTCTAAACAGAACCTCGTTATACTATAAGTAGGACCACATCCATAAATGGACAAGGTACGTTTGCGAACACGCATATCACTAGTTTTGCAACTGCCGAGCAGTCGATTATGACAATGACATACAAGACTGCATACTTTTAAGCAATACTTTGGATTGAGACTGACTACACTTGCAGTCGAAATTGTGTCGAGTCGAATCGAACGCTAGTTACAAACGAAATCAAGAAATGATAAGTTTAACTCA